GCACGTTGAGAGATCCTCAACGCACGCTGTATGGGCGGAGACGCAGACGGCTCGAGCATGCGAGTGTGAATGTTCGCGCGAGAGAACGTGTCTAATCGGGCGAAACTGCGCAACGTGGCCGTTTGAAAACTGCGCAACGCAGGGTTGACTCTGTTTGCGCTTCTGCCGTACGCAGTACAACGTATTAGTGTTAGTCACACTCTTAACACATTCTTCAGTTGTTACGTTACGCTACGCGACTGCTCGCGCCTGTTCAATGATAATTCATGGTCATCTGCCGCTGTTCAAGAGACAGAATGCACAGAATTGTAAATAGGGATATGCGTTGCATAACCCTATTTACACGATATGCGCTGCTTAATGTTCGATTACTACTATCATGGAATAGTGATGAATTAAGTTCAATTTGTCTAAATTCAACGGTTGCCCCAGTGCACTCCTTATGACATCCGGTAATCGTGATTTGAAGCCCTTAATTTAGCACCAATCCATTTTTTGTTCCAGCTAAATTTGCAGACTTGTAATAGATTAATCTTTACAGCCGAAAAAGCGCTGTTGTAAACATCGGCTGACTTTAAGCAAGTGTCGATTAAACGATAGCCAGGAAGACTCGTACAAATTTTCTGTAGTGCTTATTAATCCTTTGGCGCCATTTTCGAGGTTCAATTTGGAAGAGTTCTATCCTTTGGCTACCTTCATCTTATATTCTATTGAATTCTGTGAAATTTAGCTATATATAGTAATCACAGTTATGCATTTGTGGACTTTTTTGTTTTGATTTGGTATCCTTAGTTATTCACTATGGATTATCGAAGGAGGTACCAATTTATCTATCTTATTTGCATTGTGCCTCATTTCCTGGTATTCCAGCTGTGTGTCGCTTTAATTGCGCGGAAGTAGTACATCGGCTGATCACCGTTTACGACACGCAGTGTCGGAGCATGAATTCCCGGCTCAAATCCATCCTGGACCAACCGAAACTTTCACTCTTCGTGGAGGGTAATTACAGCCGGACTTATCTGTGCGATAAAAAAGAACTCCTTATATCGGCTGGCCCTGCAAGAGCAAATCATATGGACAGCTTCGTGTTTAGTTGGCACCACGATTCTGACTAATAGGGTGAAGTTTTGCGCATCCCTGATTGGGATTGCTGGGAGGTTTGACTACATTCGGATGCGGGCCAATAACTTTGGAGGAGAATCGCGGAGGACAAGCCTAGTGAAGTGAAGGGTGGCTCTTCCAACTACTATTTTGTGCTTAACTCTGCCGTCCCACTAAATCTACCCTTTTCATTAACACATTGACGACAACGCGAGTTTTGGCTTTTTTGGCCACGTGGGACCGCGGCGATTTTGCGGGCGCGCTCGCCTCAGGTCGTTCAAGCAGATTTTGAGTGATAAATACACAAATAATGATCAATTCAAAACCAAATCAGTAAATTGTAATGAGCACAACCTAACCAGGGGTACAGTAGTGGAATTTCGATCGAAAGACATGGAATAACAATGAAAAAGCGAAATTTTCAGAACTAGCTGCAATGGACCTCAAAAGCAATTTTACGTTGATTATTTCCAATCAAAACACACATATTGTCATCCCTAAGGTTCCTTATCTACTTCTACTACTATTTAAATCTTCACATTCATAAAAAGAAAAAGTAAACGAAAAATTTATTGAAATGAAGATTTCGTATGGTTCAGAAATCCTCCTCTAAATTAAAGTATACGTGACCATTCTAAGGGCCACTATGTTTGTAGCTACGTCAAGGTCTCTTCCATGGAATGAATACAAGAAACTTCTAAAAGAATCAGGCGTGCGCGAAAAAAATGAGTGTAATGGGTGCGGGGGATATATATCCCGCACGGTCCGACATGGCCTGCAATGCGCGGGATATATATCCCCCGCACCCATTACACTCATTTTTTTCGCGCACGCCTGATTCTTTTAGAAGTTTCTTGTATCCATTCCATGGAAAGACCTTG